TACAGAGCTTCTAACAACAAGCCACTCACATTTAGGAACTACAATGTTAATGAATGAGAATTATTTTATCGATGGTTTCGAGTGAACAGTTTCATATCCTGATGTATTAAAAAAGTTCAACAACCAATATGGTCTTAAGAAAAACAAAGCAGTCTCCATTTTTTAAAGGCTATATTTAATATTTATTATATAACGTACTATTATTACACTCTGTTATTAGGGAAGAAAAATGAACATAACAAATACTAATATTTCATATACACACAAGTCATGTGTAAGAAAGAAAAACCCCTCTAATTTCTAACTTAATCTCAAACATTTAAATTATATTTTTTTATTGTTAACCTATTAACTTGTAAGTATTCTTATCAGGTAAGGATCTATAGCATTTTCATAAGAGCCATAGGGATTATGAAAAAACTTCCACAAATAATCAAATCCAAAAAACCCATTGCTGTCGAGTTGATTCCAACTCATAGCGACTCTGTAGGACAGAAGAGAACTGCTCCATAAGGTTTCCAAGGCTGTTTAATTTTTATGGGAGTAGACTGTCACATCTTTCTCCCTTGGAGTGGCTGATGGGTTTGAACTGCTGACCTTTCGGTTAGCAGCTGAGTGCTTTAATCACTGCGCAGGGGGCCTTAAGAAATCCTTTCATAGTAAATGAAACTTTTCCCACAACACCTTCAAAGAAAAAAAAAGCACTAAAATAATGGACTTTTTTCTATTGAGTTGGTTATCCAGGCACAACGGGCTGAGAAACGATTGACCTCTGTCACTGAGCTTGTTAGGAAAGGCAGTACATAGGCTCAGACAAGGAAAGTGTTATGTTAATGAATCAGGTGAGTGATGGAAGAATTATTCCATACATACACTTAGACTATGCTTTTGAGACACCATGGAACTCAAACACACATACACAAAAAGTCTACCCTTCCCTAAATATCATATATGCCTCTCACTTTTTAGTTATTTCAGTTCTAATAAGGAGAAACAGGATTTTCCAAACCACTGGACAGAAAAAAACTGGGCTTTCAGAAATGTTCTTGCTGGAAACCTATTAGGATTCCTGGCTTAGCTGCTGAATTCAGTGAATGGGACAGTGAAGGAGGTTTATGAAAAAACTCTTGCCAACTCCATTCACTTGTGTTCCGGGGATATTAAAGATGAAAAATTAAAAAAAAAAAAAAAGTACCTGAATTCCTATCATTACTTAAGGAACAAGAGAATTCTATGATAAGTTCAAGAAGGTTCAGAACTTAAGATCCTAATGATGGACTTCTGAGAGTGTTTTGATTTAAGTTAAATTAACGGAGATTATTTAAAAAGGAGTGGATGCTATGGTAACTAAGATAAAAATTTCCATTAAAAAACGTCAATATTGTGACTAAATGTAATGAGTATCAACTATCTAGTATGTCCTGTTCAGGCTCAGTCTACTCTGAAAAATCACTATTTTTCAAGACATAAAAATATATATCACATGTGCAGGTGACAAGGAGTTTAAACTCATTCTCAAATGGACAGGAGAAAAATAATTCATGGAGCAAAAAAACAAATGTGATGAGAAATCAGAAAAATAAACGAACAAAAACCAAAAAACACCACAAAACAAACTGGACAGGTCTGTTGGAAAACATTAACGGAAAACAATAAAAACAAACAAAAAGGGTGATCTGGAATCCTCTTTATTAACTGCATTGAATGTTAATAATATTCTTTTATTTCTCAGAATAAGGCCAAGTTGGATTCAGTGAATCAACTCTAATGTTACTATAAAACCAATTTTTGATGAAAGATTGAATGCTTTCCCTCTAAGATTAGGAAGAAGGCAAGGACGTCTGTTCTCACGACTTCTACTCAACTCTGTACTGTAGGTTTCAGTCAGTGCAATAAAGCAAGAAAAATAAATAAATAAATAAATAAATAAATAAAAGGCATCCAGTTTGGAAAGTGAGAAGGAAAACTGCCTTTATTGGTAGACGACATGATCACTATGATGGTAGCTTTGTGGATGAGAATCAGCATAAAGCTAACTCCCAGAAGGCAGAAATCAATCATATCCCTGCCCTCCCACTTTCCATTATTTCTCACACTAGCAGCCCACATGGCTCTCTCTCTCTCTCCTCTCCGTTTCTCTTTTCTCTTCCCTCTCTCCCTCTCTCTTCATTTTCTTTCCCTCTCTTTATCTCTCCACTCCATCACCTCCCCTCTCTCCTGGGGTTAGGTCAGAACTTACAAGTTAAGAGTACACAATCCTTAGGTTCATTAATTCACTGGAACGACTCACAGAACTCATGGAAGATACTATATTTACGACTACCAGTCTTATTATAGTAAAAGGATATAAATCAGGATCATCATAAGGAAGAGACACACAGAGAGTTCTGGGAAGGTTTCCAACGCGGAGCTGTTCTGTCTCAGAGAAGATACATCACTCACCCTTCGCTGACCAAAAAGCTCTCTGAGCCTTCGTGTTCTGGGCTTTTATTGGCCAGTCCTGCATGATAGGCTAAATCATGCCTCCTGAGGCTAGATGATATCGGCTTCCCAAGTGAGTCTTTTCTGATCTGGCCAGACTCCACCTGCCAGCACAAATCCTCACGGGTGGCATGAAGCCCCTGACCAAGGCACCCCAATTACTCCAAGGGTTATTTCCCCAGAGCCAAGGACAAAGGCCACGTTACTTACGGTAAAACTAGGTTCTTTATCCCACGTTTTTTATGTAGAAAATCCTATGAAATCTACAAAAAAGTTACTAGAACTAATAATTGAGTATAGTAATATTGCAGGATTCCAATCAACACATAAAAAAGCAATCATATGTTTATATACTAGCAATGAACAATCATAAATTGAAATTTTAAGTACTATTAACAATAGCATCAAAAAATATAAAAGACTTAGGGCTAAATTTGTTTTAAAAATTTTCAAGACCTGTACACTGAAAACAACAAAATATTGCTGAGAAACATTAAGGACCCAAATAAATGGAGAGATATACTGTCTTCATGAGTTGGAAGATTCAAAATTTTAAGTTGCAAATTCTCCTCAAATTGATTTATAGATTCAATGTGATCCCAATCAAAATTCCACCAGGCATTTTTACAGAAATTGACAAGCCAATCCTAAAATTCGTATAGAAATTAAAAGAATCTAGATTAAGAATCTAGAACAAAGAACAAAGTTGGAGGACTTACACTACCCAACTTCATGACTTATTATAAAGCTATAGCAATCAAGAAAGTGTGGTATTGGCCAAGGGATGGACACATAGGTCAATGGAATAGAATAAGGAGTCCAGAAATAAGACTCATACATACATGGTCAATTGATTTTCAATAAAGATGTAAAGGCATCTCAGTGGGGAAAAGGATCATTTTTTTTAACAAATGATTTTAGAAAAACTACCCATGTGCAAACGAGAAAGACATCAATCCATACCTTGAATCATATAAAAAATTAACTTAAAAGGATAATAAATCTAAATGTAAAATCTAAACCTATAAAATCTTTATAAGAATACATAGCAGAAAAATATTTATGACTTTGGGTTACGCAAATATTTAAATATAGGATCAAAAGCATAAGCCATAAAAGAAAAATGAATAAATTAAAATTTCTCAATATTAAGGACACTATTAAGCAAATGAAAAGACAGTCATATCTGGGAGAAAATATTTGCAAAGCACATATCTAATAAAGGACTTATGTATACATAAGGTTACCATGAGATGGAGCCAACCTGACATCAAGTAACAACAATAAGACATTCAGAATATCTAAAGAACTCTCAAAACTCAATAAGAAAAACAACAATAAATTAAAAAATAGCAAGTTTTAGTACATTTCACCTGGGAAGATATACAGATAGCAAATAAGCACATGAAAAGACAGTCAACATTATTCGTCATTAGTGAAATGTAAATTAAAACCATAATGAAATACCACTATACACCTACTAGAATGGCTAACATTTAAAAGACTGGCTGTACCAAATGTTAACGAGGATGTAGAAGAACTGGCACTCTTACACACTGGTGGTGGGAATGTAAAATGGAACAACCACTTTTAAAAACTGTTTGGCAGTTTCTTAAAAAGTTAAACATATAACTACCATTTGACCCAGTCATTCCTCTCTTAGGTATTTACTCAAGAGAAATGAAAATATATATTCATACAAAGACTTGTAAACGAATGTTCATAGCAGTTTTATTTGTAATAGCCTAAAACTAGACAAACCTAATGTCCATCAACAGATGAAAGGATAAACAAATTGTGGTATATCTATTCAATGGAATACTACTCAGCAATAAAAAAGAATGAACAACTGATAAGTGCAACAACATCAATGAACCTTAAAATAATTATGCTGAGCTGAAAGAAGCCAAAAAAAAAAAAAAAAAAAAGAGTATGTATTGTATGAGTCCATTTATATAAAATTCTAGAAAATGTGAATTAGTCTATAATGACCAAACCTGATCAGTTGTTACCTGAGAACTAAAAGGGACAAGGAAGGGCAAGAGGGAGAGATTTCAAAGGGGAACAAGGAACCTTTTGGGGATGATGGACACCCTCATTTTCTTGATTTTGGTGAAGGTTTCACAAGTGTATGTGTGTCAAAATTTATCAAATCATATACTTTAAACATATACAGTTTACTTAAGTCAATTATACCTAAAGTCATTAAAATTCTTTAATAGCAAAAGGGGTGATATGAAAGATTAATCCATGTAGCTCTAAATAGTACTCTTCTAAAGTAATCACTGAATTGCTTTAGTCAAAGCTAACTCCAGTATGGGCAAGAAAATGGAAATAAACAGTTTCTTTGAAAAGCTGAATGACTTCTTAAGCAGAAATGTGCAAAAGCAAATGAAATTAATACTTCACATTCACAATATTTTTGTGTGTTTTGATATTCTGATGGTTATTTGCAAGTTTTTGGCAGGTTCTGAACAAGTGAACTACATGAAAAGCATACCAAAAATGAATAATCATACCTTGATTTGTGCAAAGGGTCTTTCATAACCTCCAACGTAGAGAAGGCCAACATTCTGAGGAAGTAACCTACCAAAATTTAAAAAAAGATTATTTATAATATTATAAATATCATTTATAAATTCCTTAATTGTTAAATGTAAAGTTGTATAAATATCAAAATTTGCATAAAGGATAAAAAACCAGTTCCTATTGACTAGATTCTGACTTCTGGTGACCCCATGTGGACCGTTTTGATCCATAGGGTTTTCAGTGGCTGATTTTTAAGAAGTAGATCACCAGGCCTTTCTTCCAAGGTACCTCTGGGTAGACTCAAACCTCCAACCTTTCAATTAGCAACTAAGTGCATTAACCAACTGCACCACCCAGGGATTCCATATAAAGAATAGATACTGTGAAAGAATATCTATGCAATTATTCTTATCTTTTGCATTATGGGATAGTAACAAAGAAACACCTCGTATACGTCAGAAAATAGTGAGTTAAAGAAAGCACTTGATCAGAATGAAAACTTAAATGTAGAACACTACATATTAGTAACGTATTAGCAATTTTATCAAAATAAATACACAGTATAGGGGAGATTAAAAGAAGAAATGCATATGTTTAAAATCTGTAAGGATTCAGTTCAAGAAACATTTGTTGCATGTCTCTGCTGTGCACTAAAGGAGACAAACCTAATTCAGCCCAAAATCTAACAGGAAAATGTGACACATAAATAATTAACCCTAATAAAGGTAGCCTTTGATTAAGTGCAATAATACAGGGCTTTGCCATAGGAAAGACTAAGAGGTACTTGCTATGGAAGGATCTGGAAAAGTCTGAATAGGTAGGATTTGGGCTTAGCTTTAAAGGGTAAGGCAAAGAGAAAATTTTAAATAAACGCCTGAGAATGCAGAGGATTTGAAACAAAGAGTAGACAAGTATGGCTAGAGCAAAAGATAACATAGTGGGGGATAAGGACCCAAAGAAGTCTGGAATGGAACATGAAGGTCCTCAAACGCCATATACTTTATTCTGTAAGCACTATGGAGTCACATTTTAAAAGACTTACTTATTACTCATAAAAACAATAAATGTACATGGAAATAAAAATCAAACGATATAGACAGTATAAAATTTAAAAAATGGTTACTTTCTCTGCATCATCTCTCCTTTCCTAGTCTCACTCCTAAGAAGCCCACCATTTTTGACTGCACTGAAACATAGTAAATGAAGAAATGTCATCATTAGAACTATGCTTGTGTAATGTAAAGAGAGGAAATGGTAGTGGTGTGAAGTATAGGGAGGACATAATCATGGTAAACATTCTTCAGTCTAATTTATCTAAATACAGAAATATCTCATCCTTTTATCATAAATATTTTCTTAATGGATGTTGTGAGTAAATGGACAACTCCAGTCTTAACATAATTGTCGATAAAGAATGAGGAGGAAAAATGGCCTGTACTATTCGTCACTAGGCCAAGATACTTCTCCTCAGAATCTAGTTAATGAAAGTTAAGTTTTTCATGCTAGGTAACAGAATTCTAATCTCTACGATGACTCTAAATTCAACCACATGAATCTGAGAATGGAACACTGAATGGTATATAAAGAATCATAAATTCAATCAAATAGAAAATCCTCAGTAAAAATCAGAACGTAAGATTATCATAACCATCTCTTTTAAATTTAGTGACTCCAAAACTCTTTCAACGATTCCAGGATATACATTTATTCATAGTCTGACAACTCTGAAATTGGAATGTCTCTGATACTCCATGGCATCTTATAAACATTGTCACCAGGTGAAGTTGTGAGGTAACTGATACCTTCCAGCCAGTGGTGCAACGGATAATTCCTCTGACTATGGATCAGAAGATTATAGGTTTGACTCCTGCCTGGCTCGTGCCTTATGGGAGCCCTGGTGGTGCAGTGGTTAAGAGCTTGGCTGCTAACCAAAAGGTTGGCAGTTTGAATCTACCAGCTGCTCCTTGGAAACCCTATGGGGCAGTTCTACTCTGTCCTATGGGGTCACTATGAGTAGGAATCGACTCAACCTGACGGCAACAGGTTTGTTTTTCTTTAGTGAGATTAGAAGGGGCCCTCGGGGTCCAGTGGTTAAAAGCTTGATTGCTAACCAGAAGGTCGGCAGTTCAAATCCACCAGCCACTCCTTGAAAATCCCATAGGGCAGTTCTACTCTGTCCTATAGGGCCTCTAGGGCTCGGAATCGACTCAACCACAACAGGTTTGGGTTTTTTTAGTAAGATTAGAAGGAGCCCTGGTGGTGCAGTGGTTAAAAGCTTGGCTGCTAACCAAAAGGTCAGCAGTTCAAATCCACCAGCTGCTCCTTGGAAACCCTATGGGGCAGTTCCACTCTGTCCTATAGGGTCACTAGGAGTCGGAAACAACTCGAGGGCAATGGGTTTGGTTTTGTTTGGGTTTAGTAAGATTAGAAAGAACCCTAGTGGTGCAATGTTAAGCACCTGGCTGCTAACTGAAAGGCTGGTGGTTGGAACTCACCCAGCGGCTCTGCAGGAGAAAGACCTGGTGATCTACTCCCATTAAGATTACAGCCTAGAAAATGCTATGGGGCAGTTCTACTCTGTCACATGGGGTTGCTATGAGTTGAAACCAACTTGACAGCACCTAACAACAACAGTAAGATTACAGCTGGCACTGGTGGTTCAGTGGTGGAATTCTTGCCTTCTGTGCTGGAGACCTAAGATAGATTCCTGACAATGCACCTGATATGCAGCCACCATCCACCGTCTGTCAGTGGAGGCTTGCATGTTGCTATGATGCTGAACAGGTTGCAACGGAGAAAGACGGACTAGGAAGAAAGGCCCAGCAATCTACTTCTGAAAATTAGCCAGAGAAAAAAGAAATCCTTTGGATCACAATAGTCCCATTTGCAACCAATCATGGGGATAATGCAGTACTAGGCAGTGTTTTGTTCTGTTGTGCATGGGGTCTGCTATGAGTTGGAGGCTGCCTCAATGGTGACTAAGAACAACAATAAGATCAAGAAAGCACATGCTGAGAGCATCTTTGAATACATGAGATACGGTAGATCATTAAAGACCACTAAAAGAATGTTCACAGCTGAGGAGCACATCTAGAATTAAACCAACTTAGCAAAAAGCTACTTACGTTTGGAATTTAAGTGATAGTGTGTAATAATGCATTTTAACATGATGCTGAAGATTATAAACATGATGAAAAGTATTGTTCACTGGATGCAAGTAAAAAGTATAGGAAATGTCCTCAAATCCCAACAGTGTAATGGAGAATTTCTTAACCATCATACAACAAGAAATTAATCCCACCAACAAAATTTTAAATGTCTCACAAATCACTGCTAGTATCACAAATTTAATGTTATATACAGGAGTGGTAATTTATTTCCTGTAACAAATGTTCACAGAAAGCTTGACTGCCTCTTTTAGAAATAAGAATAGTTACTGTTCATACAGATACATGCTAGAAAAGAAAGAGAATAAAAGCTGGTTGACATTTAAAAATCAATATGCCTCTAATTACTATCCATATGCATTTCAGGACTTTTGCCAATATACCGTTTTGTGTGCCCCCTCCCTCCAACCTGCCTACCTAATAACTACCTTTTCCTAAATCAGATATTTCTTAAGAATATCAGTTGTATAGCATATGCATAATTCACTTTTTAAATATTGTTCCTTCTCATTCATGTGCCTATTATTCCTTACCATATATTACATTACCACCTTCATTTGAGTGGGTTTTAATACGTATGATAACTTAAAGGTCTGTTATGCATAAGATAATTAATGCTTTGAGAACACAAATTCCCACTTTTAAAATAGGACATTTCTTTAAATCTGTTTTTACCTTTCAAAAAATTACTTTGCTGAAATGTATACATATTTATTGTCAAGTAATAGGTACCATTTTATCGTGGCAGGGTGTTTGTGTATATTATAGAGATCACACATTTTAAATCCCTGAAGTAAGACATTAAGTCAGCATTGATAGATACATTTTAAATGTATATTTCAAAGGAGAAACTTTGACTCATTTAGTACCAAGTGATTGTTTTGCCCTCAAGCTATGTGAATATTAACATAACCTTTATACAGATGCTAAAAACCCCTAAATTATATGCTTGTAACTAAATGCTTCTACAGTGTGGTCACCAAAGAGGATGCTTCTGGAAAGTAACAATAACAAGGCACTGATGGGGGAAAAAACTTAATCTGTTAGAGCTTTTCAAAAAGACAGGCAAAACTAATGTTTCTTTTGCTTTTAATTTCGCAAATACAGATATTAACAAATATCTATCCTAGGAAAAAAAAGCCCCAAAATCTTTTCCAGAAAAGTTTCTCACAAAGCGGGGAAGAAAACACTTGTCAGTAGTAGAATGAACATTACTTAAAAGAAACTCATCCACCATATTCATGGTACATTATATAGAAAAACTTTTCAAATGAAAGCTGGTCTATAATCCTTTCAAAATAAAAGTAAAAAAAAAAGAAAAAGGAAAGGGGATCTTTCTAAGAAGAATAAACTAAATAATTCAAAATTAATTGCTCTGTCTACAGTATTAACTACCAAATATATATTTTTTTAATCACAACAAAATACCTTGAAAAGACAGTATCTTCAATACTGACTTAAATAAAATCACACTTTTCAGCCAGATAGCAAGTTCTTCAAAGACCAAATTATATCCAATATATCTGGTACCAGAAAAAACAGAAAGCAAATGCCCTTAAGATGGAATCAATAGTGTCATTCTGAATTTGAGAAAATGGATATTATTGAGAAGGCCTATGTTATTCTTTGAGACATCCAGTAGGATGAAAGAACCATATGCCCTTAGGTCCACATAAAATTTAGATGACCAAATGAGTACATTTACTATTACCCTTAATGACTTTTCATAGCCTATACTTTTCTATTCTGGTTTGCCTTCTAAACCCTGATACCAAAAAAAAAAAAAAACCAAACCCGTTGCCATCGAATCGATTCTGATTCATAGCAACCCTATAGGACAGAGTAGAACTGCCCCATAGGGTTTCCAAGAAGCACCTGGTAGATTCAAAC